GGTACCAGACGGGAAGGCTGCAGTTGTAGCAGACAGGAAGGCTGCAGTGGTAGCAGACAGGAAGGCTGAAGTGGTAGCAGACGGAAATACTGAGTCTCAGATCTCCCAGCAAAGTCTAAGTTTACAAGTATGGCGTTTCCTTGCAGACCTCTGGGAACTGTAGTCAGTACCTGCAGTATAGAGGAGAGGAAGGCTGCAATGGTAGCAGACAAGAAGGCTGCAGTGGTAGCAGATAGGAAGGCTGCGGTGGTAGCAGACAGGAAGGCCGCAGTGGTACCAGACCGGAAGACTCTAGTGGGAGCAGTCAGGAAGCCAGAGTCGCAGATCTCCCAGGCAAGTCCAAGTTTAAAAAGATGGCGGTTCCCCACCGACTTCTGGGATCTGTAGTCAGTACGTCCAGTGGTAGGAGACTGTAAGGCTGCCGTGGTACCAAACGGGAAGCCTGCAGTGGTAGCAGACAGGAAGGCTGATGTGGTAGCAAACGGGAAGGCTGTAGTTGTAGCAGACAGGAAGGATGTAGTGGTAGTAGACACGAAGGCTGCAGTCGTAAGAGACGAGAAGGTTGCAGTGGTAGCAGATGGGAAGCCTGCAGTGTTAGCAGACAGGAAGGCTGCAATGGTAGAAGATAGCAAGGTTGTAGTGGTACCAGTCTGGAAGACTGCAGTGGGAGCAGTCAGGAAGCCCGAGTTGCAGATCTCCCAGCCAAGTCCAAGTTTACAAAGATGGCATTTCCCCACCGACCTCTAGGATATATAGTCAGTACGTGCATTGGTAGCCGACTGGAAGGCTGCAGTGGTAGTAGACGGGAAGCCTGCAGTGGTAACCGACAGGAAGGCTGATGTGGTAGCAGACGGGAAGGCTGCAGTTGTAGCAGACAGGAAGGATGTAGTGGTAGTAGACACGAAGGCTGCAGGGGTAGCAGACAGGAAGGCTGCAGTGGTAGCAGACAGGAATGCTGCAGTGGTAGCAGACAGGAAGGCTGCAGTAGTAGCAGACAGGAAGCCTGAGTTGCAGATCTCCCAGGCAAGTCCAAGTTTAAGAGATGGCGGTACCCCACTGAACTCTGGGATCTGTCGCAGTATGTGCAGTGGTAGCAGACTGGAAGGCTGCCATGGTAGCAGACGGGAAGCCTGCAGTGGTAGCAGACAGGAAGTCTGTAGTGGTAGCAGACAGGAAGGCTGCAGTTGTAGCAGACGGGAAGGCTTCAGTTGTAGCAGACAGGAAGGCTGCAGTGGTAGCAGACAGTAAGGCTGAGTCACAGATCTCCCAAGAATGTCCAAGTTTTCAAAGATGTCGTTTCACCACAGACCTCTGGGATCTGTAGTCAATACCTGCATTGGTAACAAACAGTAAGGCTGCAGTGGTAGCAGACGGGAAGGCTAGATTGGTAGCAGACAGGAAGGCTGTAATGGTAGCAGACAGGAAGGTTGCAGTGGTAGCAGACAGGAAAGCTGTAGTAGTTCCAGAGAGAAAGGCTCAGTCGCAGATCTCCCAGCAAAGTCCAAGTTTACAAAGATGGCGTTTTCCCACAGACCTCTGGGAACTGTAGTCAGTACCTGCAGTGGTAGCTGACAGGAAGAGTGTAGTAGTAGCAGAATGGATGCCTGCAGTGGTAGCAGACGGGAAGGCTGCAGTGGTAGCAGACAGGAAGGCTGAGTCGCAGATCTCCCAGCAATGTCCAAGTTTACAAAAATGGTGTTTCCCCACAGGGCTCTGGGAACTGTAGTCAGTACCTGCAGTGGTAGCAGACGGGAAGGCTCTAGTCGTAGCAGACAGGAAGGCTGCAATGGTAGCAGACAGGAAGGATGTAGTGGTAGCAGAAAGGAAGGCTGAGTCGCAGATCTCACAGCAACGTCCAAGTTTATAAAGATGGCTTTTCCCCACATTCCTCTGGGAACTGTAGTCAGTATCTGCAGTGGTAGCAGACAGGAAGGCTGCAGTGGTAGCAGACAGGAAGGCTGCAGTGGTAGCTGATAAGAAGGCTGCAGTTGTAGCAGACAGGAAGGCTGCAGAGGTACCAGTCCGGAAGACTGCAGTGGAAGCAGTCAGGAAGCCTGAGTTTCAGATCTCCCAGCCAAGTCCAAGTTTACAAAGATGGCGTTTCCCCACAGACCTCTGGGAACTGTAGTCAGTACCTGCAGAGGTAGCAGAATGGAAGGCTGCAGTGGGACCAGACAGGAAGGCTGCAGTGGTAGCAGACAGGAAGGCTGCAGTGGTAGCAGACGGGAAGGCTGAAGTGGTAGCAGAAGGGAATGCTGAGTCTTAGAACTCCCAGCAACATCCAAGTTTACAAATATGGTGTTTCCTCGCAGATCTCTGGGAACTGTAGTCAGTACCTGCAGTGGTAGAAGACTGGAAGGCTGCAGTGGTAGCAGACAGGAAGGCTGCAGTGGTAGCAGGTAGGAAGGCTGCAGTGGTAGCAGATTGCAAGACTGCAGTGGTACCAGACCGCAAGACTGCAGTTGGAGCAGTCAGGAAGCCTGAGTCGCAGACCTCCCAGGCGGGTCCACGTTTACAAAGATGGCGGTTCCCCACTGACCTCTGGGATCTGTTGTCAGTACGTTTAGTGGTAGCAGACTGGAAGGCTGCCGTGGTAGCAGACGGGAAGCCTGCAGTGGTAGCAGACAGGAAGGCTGTAGTGGTAGCAGATAGGAAGGCTGCAGTGGTAGCAGACGGGAAGGCTTCAGTGGTAGTAGACACGAAGGCTGCAATGGTAGCAGACAGGAAGACTGCATTGGTAGCAGA